CAGAACAAAAAATGTTTGTTTGACCTATGACATTTGTTCTCTTTGTCGTTTATAACGTTCATTAGTAATCTGAACGATCATCTAAAACGTACTTTTCAATCAAATAAATCAAACAGCGAAAAGTACATATTCATTTATTTTATTTTTTACTTTTATTTTTTTTTTATTCCAGCCTGATCTTACCAATTTTTTGTAATTGATATTTATTTCGATATTTTCGATATTATCTGGTTATATGTCTTCTCAATCAGCACGTAAACAAGACAAATTATCATTTCGAACATTTGTATTATTATTGAAAAGACAAAATCCTAGTTGGACTGCTTCGAACATTGCTGACTTCCTTGAACAATCAGATAATCCTCCAAATTTAAATCGACATAGTTTAATGAACAAAATCCATTATTTATTAAAAAGAGGATCAACCTATGACAGAAAAAGATCTGGTAGACCACGAACTACTACCACCCCAGATTATCGAAATACAGTCTTACAAGAAATTCAAACGAAGACCAAAGCTAGTATTAGAAGTGTATCGGCAAAACTGAGACAAAACGGTTGGAAAACATCACCTTCTTCGGTTTATAGAACAGAAAAATCATTAGGTTTGAAATGGTTTAAGAAGAAAAGAGTGCAAAAACTAACAATTGAAAATAAAATGCAACGTGTTAGATGCGCAAAGATTTTACGAAAAAATTTTGGTGCTACGAAAAGATCAAAAACCTGGCGATGGGATAAAGTAGTCAATACGGATTTCTCTGGAAAATTCATTTTAGATTCCTCATCGAATCCACATAATGACGGTGTTTGGGCAAAAGCTGCTGAAGAAATACCACCAGCAATTTATTATCGATCAAAAAGTAAATTTGCAAGTGGTCTTATTTTCTGGGGTGGCATCTCGTACGAAGGGTTGATTCCAAAGAATGGCCCATTTGATGTAACCTCATGGCTGAAGAACCAGACCAAAGAAAAACGACGACAAAAAAATTATCTGAATAGTCAATTGTATGCGAAATTTATTAAGGAAGTCGGTCATATATTGATCAATTTCGAAAACCTGATCTTAAAAAGTTTGTGTTGACATTTTTGTCATTCTTAGATCAAATATCATTGAATTATACACCATTGGATAGAGCGTCACGAGTACTTTAATTTGATGTAAAAACATATGGGTTAGACATTTTCCTTGATATAAATCGAGGTCAACTTTGTTGCGCCTCAAAACTTATGAAACACCCTGTATATATAGGATCAAATTACAGTTCTCATCTTAAAACTAATAAATTTAAAATATAGGCTACTGTTGCCATGCCTCGACCGGGATATTCGAATTTTAAGACATTTACGCTCTATGTAATGTATTCACAAATCAAAGTTTTAGTAGACTTTTTTCTTTTCTCGTTATAGTTGGATACAGCTCGTTGAGTTGTATAAAAATAAAGTATGTTTCAAATTGTAAAAAAAAGTTACGAAAATCAGAATTCTGGATCTATGTCCCTTTATATCTGAAAATAAGGGTATCCTTGACTTTTTCGTAAAATATTTGTTTTTTAATTTGAAACATACCGTTTCCTATACAGCTTGACGCGCTCTATTCAACTTTGATGGAAAAAGAAAAAAATCTTCTACAATTTTTACGCTACATAAAGTCCAAATATCATACATTTGAATGTCTCGGTACAGGCACATCAACAGTAGTCTATGTTTTAAATTTGTTAGTTTAGTGGTGAGAGCTGTAATTTGATACGTATATGTTTAACCTTATTAAATAATAACACAAACACCTCCGTTGCTAGTAAAAAAAAATGCGGAAATCTCGGATTTATATCCGAGAGTATGTGTACTTCAAAAAGTGAATGAGACAAATCGGCCATCTTAGAATGTCTGGATATAAAAATTTGCCTGGCAAACCTTTTCTATAAACCCTTGAATTCCATTGGCTACTGCTCAACCAATAGGACTTGGGAGCGTATACAGCTCAGATTTCAACTCTTCGGCTTAACTTAGCCTCAGACAGTCCTTTTTCCTATAACTGGATTTCTATTGGTCAATGCTCAACCAATGAGCCTTCGAGGCAAGTGGAGTAGAGATTCGAGTTCTCCATACTAGAAAACCTTCGAATATCATCTCTATGATCGGAAGATAGAGTTCCTTTTGGATCGATTGGAGCGTGCACAAAAACCGAACCGATTCCCGCTTATTTATCTTACCAATAGGTGAGTTAGTCTTCTCGTTTCTTAATGTTTTATATATCATTTTGTAGCTCTTGAAATTCTCTATCGAATGGTACATAATAGTTGGGGTTTTAATTGACTATGATAGGAAAAGTCTTTGGCAAAAGTGGCGATGGGTCGATTTTCCCATAGGAAGCTATAGGGAAAAATGGGTATTTTTGCAATAACTCAGAAACGGCTCGGCCGATCCTTCTCATCTTCGAACTCGTCCGAGATATTGTAAAGACTGAACTATGTAGAAAATTTCATCGCAATCGGACTCTCCTTTCGAAAGTTATCGTGTAAACGGACGGCCGGACACACTGACCGATTCTAGAGTGTACCCACTTTTTGAGTACACAAAAGATTAACCATTTCTTAATGTGTTACATGAAAAGCATTTTTGGCATTATTTCCCAAGCGAGCAAAAAAATACTGGTGACGGGCGACATAACTAGTCCAAAATGTCCTTATTACCCATCAGGACTAGTCTGAAGCGTCTTGTTTACCCGTCCAGACGGGTAATGTTTACGAAAACTGTCCTGCAACCACTTCTGGACTAGTCTAGAACGTCCTAGAAACCTGTCATGCCTAGTCCGTTTTGTCTGTTAATCCGGTCCAGACTAGTCAGGAGAATAGAAAAAGAACTGAAAAGATGTATTCGAACATTCGACCCGACAATCTTCAATATCTGACGGGCATTCTGACAACGAGCCATGACGCGACAATAGACTAACGTCAGTTTAGATAGTCTAAATATCAAAATGACGCTCACCCATTTGCTGGACGGTTAAAAACTAACCAAGGACAAGAGACTTGACTAGTCTGACAGATCTTAGTGAGTAGTGAGGACTAGTTTGAGCCGTCATGCGAGCAAGTCGTAACTAGTCTTTTTCTGAAAATGTATTATCAAGCTCGATCCATATTAAACTTTTTTGAACAATCAGTTTGATTCAATAAACTTTTCAGTCTAATTCCTCTAAGCTTGGCCACTGATGAAAAGAAAAAAGAAGAGAATAGAATGCAAGATATTTTTCAATATCTGTATAACTTGTTCATAATAACTGGCGAATAATGAAATGCTTTTAAAGCATAATTCGTATAGGAGAATAACAATCAATTTATTATCTATCTTTCACCTAGCATGAACTAGTTTTGGAAAGAACGTTCGTTAAAGAGTTGCTTCCACTATTGTTATTGAGCCTTAAGGTTGAACATTTTTAACTCATTATTTACACTTCATCTTACAAAAACATCTCAACTATCCTTTTAATTGATTCAACTAAGCAGAGGAATTTTAAAATAAAAATCTAAACATTTACATTGTTTGCCGACAACAATGATAATAAGATATAAGATATGTATTTTCGTCTTGTACTCAGAGTACTAGAAATTGGCATTATAAACTTATTATATAGTATTGTGTGAGGATGTGTCTTTCGGTCTATGATCAACTGTCAAGTATGTTCTACTATATTACGATTGCGAATATTATCCACAGTTATTAAATTTGTGTTAGTATGGAATGTTATTGTGGTTGACTTTTTCCCTATGAAAAACGAAAAGTCCCTCAACGTTAATGATTTTTACAAGATCATTTTATTTTATTTCAACTATGAGTTTCTAGTGACTTCAATTTAAATTTAAAAACAAATTTTGACTGAATAATTTTAGTGTATTCTCAGGTTTAAATTGCGAAATTTGCGGTATCAAATAAACTTAAATTATAAGACGAAAGAAAATAAATTTTTAAAATTTAAATTATTTTACTTTATCTTCGTATTTAAGTTTTTAAATAGTTTTTATGATGTCTGAGCGGTCAAAAGAATTTTTTTAGAAAAAAGTAAAAAGAAAATTCGAAATTAACATTAAAAAGCCATATCGTACTAATTTCTTAATGTATAATTAATTTTTTTATTTATACCAAAACTTGAAGAAGCGCGAAGTAAAATTGTATTTAACAGTATCTTAGAATGACTATGAATATGTACAAGTTGATCTCTTGCTTGTTTGGTTCAATGGGCTAAACGAGGGGTAAGTGATATATTGTGTGCATGTTCGAATCTAACCTTCATCCTTATATATTAATATTTAGACTAGTCCAGATTCGTCCAGTACACAACATAACATCATGGCCTGTCCGAAGTAGCATCGCAGATGTCCTTACTTTTCCATTCCAAATAGATTTTGGATGGGCATCAGGACGCTCGACCCATCTAGTCTTTTTCTCAAAAAGTCCTAGTGCATGACTAGTCAACCTTATATTGATTTCTCAGTAGTCTTAGACGAGTCCTTTCTGTGAAGAAGACTAGACATGATCAAGACAATGACGGCCATCCATTACATAGTCAGGACGTGGACAATGGACGACAAATGATTTCGGACTAGTCATGTACGAGGACTTTTTGAGAAAAAGACTGGTCTGAAAGTACCGTCAGGACTAAATATGCAACTAGTCTTTTTACCCGTCCTTTGCTCGCCAGGGTTATGGCCCTTTAATATCGTTATAATGATTACAATTTCATGGCATTTTAATGCAATTTTACCACTTTTATTCCTGCCTGTGTAGTCATTGCCCACATCTAAAGCACGGAACATCTAATCGATTGAGAACCATTATTGAGGATGTGTACAGCAGCATCCATTCCCATATCAAAACAAGAATTATCGATTGCAGCATTACACTCACGCACATATAGTGACATCTTCGACCGAGATGCACATTCACACCCACTGAAACATCACATCCATACGAAGACACAATGAGACTTCGTGTTTCTCAATTACATCCCATAGAGAGGTCACAAAATAATGACATTCAGAGATAGTCTACTTCGACCGTATCACAGTTACATTCAATGTGAAATACAAATCACATTGGTGCACCTTACACCAAAACCCATTCACAGAGACGGAGCGCACACCTACCTCAACTTCTTCAAGGACACTGGCTTGCTTCACCACATTATACATCCACAGAACACCGGTAGTCAAAGAAAACTTGCATCCATCTCTGTGTACCCGTTATAAAGCAAAACAGAAACAAATGAGTCACACTTTGTCACGTGCTTCTATAGTGGCAGCCGAAATTGAGTTATCCACACACCCATATTCGCCGTCATTCGCGCGCCAACTTGGGCTGCAATATCCCAGAAGGACATCCTCAGAGCACCAACAGCCGGAAAGAAATACTTCCAATCACCGCCCATATTCAGAGCCATAGACGCTTATTCAGGCACATTGCATCCTCACAACATCTCTTATCTCACACTGACCCGCAACGAACGCAAAAACGCACAGGACGTTTTGAAATGAAAAAGACATGCGTAGTGAGGGCCCTTCAGCGGTGTCCATCGACCATTGACACTCAGATATAGAGCCACAGTAGAATGTTTAGTCTTTGAAGATATCAACATACTTAGAGATCCGACTACAAGCACTTCGATAACGACGATCGCATACTCATGGACCACCGACACCCATGGCCATTCCATAATCTAACTGCACAGACACTAACTTCATATGATGCATTCGCCCAAACAAAACCTCCAGATTCGAAGTTATATCTACGCATTTAACACACATCCTTATGCCGACTTCGACAGACAAATCGGAAATCGGATTGATGTTTATTTAATTACGGATACGTGTTTCGAGCTGTGGTTTTCCATTGGGCGCAGATGTAACATGTGGACTACGGAGATGAGTGTTGGTGTGCTATTGGCATCGATGGAATTCAACAGCGAAACTCGTTGTTGTTGCGAAGGTAGCATGTAGATTTTTAGCTATAATGCGCGTGGTTGTAGCTCTGCTACTAAAGCCGTGGGTGTGGACTATGCCTGACAAAGTGAATGTGCTTGTGGCAGTCAATGCAGTTGCATATCTCTCGCTGTTGGTATGCCTTTAGCTCCATATTCACGGTTAGCTGTAGAAATCGCC